TTCAAATCATTTTTTGAAACATTTTTTTAATAATTAAAAATCAACCTATCGTTTAAATATACACTTTTAGAAACGATTTTCATATAATGAAAAATTATTTTAAACGACTAAAAACATATATCGTAGTGATTTTGAATGTGTTAAATGTAATTTTAACCAATTTTAAACTAATCCATTTTCTTAAATAAGTAGAGGATATTATACTTTCTATTAAATTGTTTGATTCTTTTTCTTAAAAAAGAAAAAGAAAAGATGATCATAAATTTAAAGGTGAAGAATTAAAATGTTATTAAATATATTTTCTCTTGAATTTTATTTTTGATCATTGGGAAAGAAAATTGAGAGTAAAAAATAATTACAGGTTTCACTCGTGCATCACACCCAATTCCGAACCAACTACTCACTATTTATGGCCTTTTACGATTACGTCTACGGCACACCGGACAAATCTTCCGATGCTCTGTACCAAAAATCTCCCGAAAGAGAAGAAGATGTTGCTGACGTGGTCCATCTGACTCATCTCACAACTCCCGAATCCATCTTTCACCTACGTCTAGGATCTGCCGCGCTGGCATACAGACCTCTCACATCCACGTGGTATCTGTGCTTGCTGTCCCCAATCACAAAGCTGCTGACGTGGATCTATGGCCGTACATTTGTAGTTGAAAGCAACCAATTTGAAAAGCTCAAGATGCAAACATGGGTCATCCCCAAGTTTAACGTTCAGGTGACAAATTGCTAGCCATGGGTTTTGTTTCTAACAAAATTAAAGATTTTGAGTAAAATTGAAGCTTTAAAAATAGGCTAAATTAATAAAATATTTATAATAGACAAAATTAATATAAATATTTATAAACTAAAAGTAGCTCTAAATTCTTAAAAATGTCAATAATACTTTTAAATTTACAAAAATAAGTTTAAAAAGTACCCTTAAAAACAATAAATTGTTTAAAAAAAAAAAGAGGCTAAATTAATAAAAATATTTATAATAGACTAATTTAATAAAAATATTTATAAACTAAAAGTAACTCTAAAATTTAAAAAATTTAAATAATACTTTTAAATTTACAAAAATAAGTTTAAAAAATATACTTGAGTTTTAAAAAAAATAATAAATTGTTTTGTTTTCAAAATGGCTATTATGGTTTTTGGGTATATAATTCTTTGGTACCTAACGAACTTATTTGTGGCAGTACTCGGTTCAACGGCAAATCAAATCAATAAACAGCTTGATTGAAGAAGCTATAACTAAAGCAGATCAAAAGGGCTGCAAAGTCTTGACTTTAGAGCTCTTAAATCAGGCAAGCACAACTCATTTCTTCACAAATCCCTCCATCATAAAACCCAACTAACATATATATATATATATATATTCCCAAATTTGCAACCCAAGTCCTCCTCACAGGCAAAATTACAAAATTGGCTTTCGCACTTTACCATTCCCTTTCCCAAAGGGGCATTCAAATTGGCGTTTTCAATGGACAACACTACAAAAAGCTCAACAACTACAAAGGCAGTCTACTTCTTGCCAAAACCCATTCTCATAACGTGAATTCCCAAATTATTCCTCCATTTATTTATTTGTATATTTATTTAGGTTGAGAAAAATATGAAATTTAATTTAATGCGCAGATATGGTTGGTGGGAGATGGACTTACTTGTATGAATGCTCCAAAAGGAACAACTTTCATTCCCTTCTCCCAATTCCCTCCAAAGGTCGTTCGCAAAGACTGCTTCTACCACTGCACCCCTGCAATGAAGGCTCCTCCTTCCCTTCAGAATCTGCACTCTTGTGAGGTAAAACACTCGATACCTAACTTTTATGTTAATAAAATAGAAGGTCATTATACACAAAAGAAAGTTACAACGTAAAGGTTTGTTTGTTGCAGAATTGGCTACCGATGCGGCTGATGAGTGCATGGCGCATTGCTGGTGTGGTGCATGCGATGGAAGGGTTGACCGAGCACGAGTGTGGCTATGCAATGTCCGATATCGACCGAGTCTGGAAAGCAACGCTTCGACATGGGTTTCAGCCTCTACACACGCCCATTGCCTAAATGCCTCCCCCCATACTTTGTAGTTTGATATAAAGACTAAAGACAAGGAACACAAATACAATTATCATGTTAAATAATGAAAGTATGACCTTTCTCCAAATATCCATCCATAAGCTCAATCTCAAAAACCTCCCTCAAAATTTTTAAAACGATTGTATTAGAGAGAGTTTTCCACACTATTATAAAAATATTTTGTTATCTTCACTGACAGAGGTAGAATCTCACAATGAAAGAGGAGTGATTAATTCAGATTGGTTTTGATTCAATGCAATCAAGTTTTAGAGAATGATGAACCAACAAAACCAATAAATTTTTCATCTATTTAATTTAAATACAACTCAAATAAATTCATAACTCAATCCGAACCATCCAGACTAAATTGGATTATCAAATTTTTTAAACACCTCTAATTTAGCCAACTTTCCCTATCTTCAAATTTCAAATTTTCTAATAAACACTATATAAAATTTTTAAATTTTAAATACACCTCTAATTTAGACTAAATTGGGTTATTTAGTCATTTCAAATTTTTTACCCTGATATTAAAAAGTTTTTAATTTCCCACCAACTTTTTAGTTTTTTAAATTATCCTGAATAAACACTATAAAATATTCTCATCATGTGATGTAATTTCACGCCAATTTTTTAGTTTTATTAATTATTTAAATAGAAGATTGCTAATATAGATGGTAGAATCGAGACCTTATAAACGTGAACCTAATTTTCTGAGTGAATATAAGCATATTTCTTATACCCAAAAAAAAAAAAAAAAAAAAAAAAAAAAAAAAAAAAAAAAAAAAAAAAA